CAGCCACACGGCGGCGTTCCGGGAGTGCGCGGTGTCAGTGGCGTTGGTGCGCACGCGGCGTGGCGCGAAGCAAGCCCAAGGCCCGGTTTTGACAATTCATTGTCTCATCGTTAGACAAGACGCGCTTTGGCGCTGCTGCTACTGCTGCCACCGCTGCTGTTGAGCTGGGCAGTGGTGCACAAAGCGCGATTGACGAAGCGGCTCGCCACACGTGGTTCTACATGCCATGAAGAAGGCCCATTGCCCGAAACGTCGCCGATTTGATAGCATATTTTTTGTTGTTGTTGTTAATTGTCTCGTCAGCAGAGCAATGTCTTCTGCAAGCATTGTGTGTATGTGTGGGGAGTGGTGGTGTAGCGGTTAGCGCCCTGCGCTATGAACCCGGCGGCCCGAGTTCGATTCCTGCTCACGGCCACTAGCACCGGTGACGGTTATCTGAGCCGGTCCTGGGCATCCCCTAGGTCGACTCAGCCTAAAATTAGAACCTGGTGCTGTGTGTGGTAAACATCACTACCGGAGAGACAAAGGCTGCCGGGCGTGGTGCTGGCCACTCACCCCCCTCGTGTGCCGTGCCGGCCGTCATAGGTGCTACTCACTGACAGCACTTGCCAACAACAGTTTGTTGAAGGCTATACGGGGGATCTTTGACTTTGGGCCGTCTAGGCACGGAAAAAAGACATCACAGCTACGGTCACAGCCGTAACGATTTGAGTGGCCACTAAGGTCGTGAACCTTAGTGGCCACTCGTGACTTTCGGGGCACGCGAAACCCATTAAACTATAAACTATAACCGAAAATATTTGTATTTTACTAAGTAAGGCCCGCTGGGCTGTGTAGCTCTTTTTCAGAATGCGCGACCCTGGCTATCACAAACGACAGCCCAACGAGAAGTGGCTTATCGCGTGGGAATTAGTAGCGGCCAAATACTCTGAACCCACGATGTTGATTCTAAATCCGGGAGGGAAAAACCAGAGGGCCCGGATAAATGTCCACGCGACCATGGGGAGAGAGACACGCAAACTTCAAATTTACAAGCATCAGGGTAGGGAACTCACGACCTCCTGTATACCAGGCGAGGGAGTTAACATCCCACCATCATGGAAGATTAATATTTGCATACAGCGAATGTGAATCTAAGCCATGGATTATTACACACGTCACTTCACTACCTGTGCATCGACAGCTTTAAGAGCTTAGACGAATATATTAATTTAACGCGACATTAAATATCCACAACCGCTCGTCGACTGGCAGGTCGCTGGATGTGGTTGTGTAAAGTGCGGGTACACCTCGAACAAGAAGTCCGGCCAGTGTGGAAGAGTTGATCGAAGTTCTCACTCTAAAATAATATGAATGCGCAGCCCTTTGTCCAACCACTGCTAAATGAAGGCTTCCCTCTGGTATATCACGGCTGTGGCGAGATGTTTACTCCCTCGCCTGGCGTGCAGCAGGTCGTGGATTCCGACCCCAACGCCTGCATATTTGGACTTTGCATGTCTCTCTCCACGTGGTTGTGTGTGTTTTTCTCCGGGTCCTCTGGTTTTTCCCTCCACATTTACTATGGCTATCATTTATGATGTCATTTATGGTAGCCAGGCCACTTCTGAAAAATAGCTATATAGCTCAGTGGGCCTTAACTGGTAAAAAATGTAACCAAAAATGTTTTTAGTCGTTTAAAATATCGGTCATGGGAGCTGTTTGACCATACTTCACCACACTGGTCAGGGCGGGTTAAAGTGGCTTCTCGAGCTGTCTCCAGGAGAGAGGCCCCTCCCGTCGGCAGTGGCCTGAGCAGGGAATTGCAGAGCTGCGCCTTTACCTCTTAGATTTGCTGTACAGGTACCGTAATAATGATTGTTTTTTGTGTTGTTGTTGTAACGTTCTAACCCCGTGTCCCCCTACTGGACATGTGTGAAATAGAGCTTCATAGCTCATCGGATTCCTCCTGCAGTATAAACACAAGATTTTGATTCAGAATTCACGTTCCCCTGTTCGTGATTTGCAGCCGCCACGCAAATCGGTAACTCCCCCCCCCCCCCCCGGCCATTTCCCTTTGAACAGGAAAATGTATTGACATTTCTTAAACTGATCTGTGCGGCATTGTTTCGAATGTTATGCACCCAAATGAGTCTGTTTCTCCCTGGGCCCATCAGGGTTTTTTCCCAGATGATGACGTGATTTAGAAATTCAATTTATTTGCTCTCGCAGAGCGAGAGAGGCGAGGGATTACAAAGGGAATTGGGCAAACATCCCAACTCGGGCTCCTCCTGAAGATGACTCCAGAGGCCCAGGACAGGCCTTTCCTGGCAATACAATTTTAAAAATAAAATATATTCTCATAATGTCCGTCAGCAACACTGTGGCAACACGGGGCTAGAAGACTAGAAGACCTCAAGCCTCTCTGGCAGGGAAGGCGGCAGCAGTACTCGTGGCTTGGGGAGACCTTCATCTAGCAGTGGATTGACCATGGTTGATGATGATGATGATGATGAAATCTTAATGCCAGCTCATGGCTCTGTTGTTTTCAGGGTGCAGGGAAACTCCCGCAGTTTCACTTTGCACTGATGGCACGCAAAGATCCCTCCCTGTAACCTTCGCAGACTTTTTGGGGCAAAGTGCTGTGAACTTTACGAAGGCTGGCACGGCACACGAGGGGTTGGGTGGCCCAACACCACCCCCGGTCGCCTTTATCTCCCTCATGGTAATGTTTAGTACACATCGCACCGAGTATTCATTTGAGGCTGAGACGACCTAGGGGAGGCCCATAACCGGTTGAGATAATCTTTACGCCGGCGTTGGCCATGAGCGGGAATCAAACTCGGGACGCCGTGCTCGTAGCGCAGCGCGCTAACCGCCACACCGCCGCTCCCGACTGGTAGCGGCACGCGGATGCATGCGCTCATGCCTCTATAACCACCCACTCTTATCACTTGTCACAAAGCGACGCTTGTCATAATCGTTGGAGTGGGCGCGAGTGTTATCATAACGCGTGCGCAGGTGCACGGCAGCTGGTCTGTTGAGTTTAAAGAACAAAAAAATCTTGTTCATTTTCTTGCGGAGTCTCGGAGGTGGGGGGGGGGGGGGGGCGCGGGTGGGCAGGGGGGGGGAGTCTGGGAGGTAATGGAGTCGCACGCCAAGAGACCTTCATCCAGTAGTGGATTGACCATGGTTGATGATAATGTCGATGATGAAATCTCAAGCCCAATGTCGTGCTAGGGGGTTGGCCCCCACCCATAGCAGATGACGAAAAATCCCTGACCCGGGCAACTCGCACATAACTGGCTCAACTCTGGTCAGATTACTGCTCCATGCTAGCCGATTACCAAAATCGAATCGACCCAAACGCCCCAAACTGCTGCCCTTTGTGCCAAGCAACGCCAGAAGACATCTCCCATTTTCTCAGTTGCCCAAAACGCGTACCAAAAATGTAATCGATTGATCTCTGGCTAAACCCTTCCAAAGTGGCGACACAACGCCACCTATAAACAGAAAGTGCGAGGAAAACAACAACATGATGAAATCTGAAGGCCAGCTCATGGCTCTGTTTTCAGGGTGCAGGGAAACTCCTGCAGTTTCACTTTGTACTGATGGCACGCAGATTTTTGGGGCAAAGTGCTGTGAACTTTACAAAGGCCGGCACGGCACACGAGGGGGGTGGGTGGCCCAACACCATGCCCGGTTGCCTTTGTCTCCCCCGGATGGTGGTGGTGACCGTGAATTTTCCCGGCCTATCCGCGGATCGCAACGTGGCTCAACGCCGCACGTAAGCTGGCCCCGACAGTCGTCATCAGCAGTGGCCATGGTCGATCTATTGCTGGATAAAGGCCTCCCCGCGCGTTCCTGTGATTTAAGATTCAAGAACATTGCCCGTGGTGAGCAAGGCCCGTGGCACTAACCATCGCGCCGCGGCAGCGTTCTCATAATTTCAAGCGGTCGGAGAAATATCCCACGAACCTCTTTCACGGCCGCCTTGCTTTCAAATCGTCTCGTGGGGTCGGACTTCATTTGAGACATCTGAACAAGCTAAATATGCCCTGCGTGGCATTTTCACCGCCGTCCAAAAAAAAAGAAATGAGCGGAACGCAACTCCAGTTGTGGCTGAGAGTGGGAGGAGTGCGCGCGTTTGAGCACATCGTGAGTGACGCGCAGCTTGCATGGGGATGCGTGGCCCTGGCGATCGCTCATGGCCCAGTGTTGACTGAAATATTACCCCACTGTTTTGCTCCGTTCAGCTGTTCACATCATTCCTCTCCGCGTGCCTCATCACCGTGTCCACACGCTGTTGTTTCAGTGTGCAAGTGCGTGCCTGCGCGCATGTCCTTGTCTCTGCGTGGAGGGCGGTAGTTGTCTATGTTGGCGCACTGCGCCACGAAACTGGCAAACCCAAGTTCAATTCCTGACTCGGCCTTTAAACCAGTACCTAGTGGGGTGCATGAACATCGGCATTGGGGAGACAAATATGGTTGGGCGTGGTGCTGGCGACCCACCTTTCTGTGTGCCGTGGTAGCCCTTAATAAGTGCTCGCTAACAGCACGTGACCCGACATCCTGTGTAGGCTACATCGGGGACCTTTTTCTTCGTGTGTGTGTAGAGAAGGCAGTGGCACATTGAATAGTCGACTCCGAAAGAGCAAACTAAGTGGTACTTCATCAGGCCGAGGAGCGTTTCATCACAAGTCGGTGCTGCATCACAGCAGCACCTGTACGCACACTCCTTAATTGGCTAAACACATCTGAACGTCGAGAAGACAGCAGAGCTCGCTACTTGACATTCTCGCCTGCACTGTTATTTGATTATTATTATCCTGTTGCAGCGGGGATTTTTGTTCTCGTTGTTCAGAGATGTGGTTAACCCCATGTACGCGCCGCTGCGCGTGCACGGTTCATCTCCGCCATGACCTCACGGGAGCGGAGACGATCATCGTGGTCAGTGTAACACGGAGGCTTTCGCTGCCGTGGATCATCGTGGTGTTTGTGTCGGTTTGTTTTTTGTCGTTGCAGGTGCTGCCGGGAAAGATGGACAAGGACAAGGCCGGTAGGTCGACTTTAATTTCTCGTGTCAATAATTTATCGGACGTATTGCAACGTAATTTTTTTTGCCCTTCGCGGCTTCTTGCCCCCCCCCCTCACACTCCCCCCCCCCAACACCGTGCCCGAAAGGTCACGCGACTAGCGAGGCACGCTTCACGTGACGCGTTCTGTTTGAACGAGGAAGAAAATAAATGTTGCTAGCGCGTGGTTGCTGCAGAACGTTTGTTCGGCGCGTCCGTCACCTCGGGGGCGGTCCCGGACAGCGGCGGAAAACGCCGCGGACGTCGCGCGCGATGCCGTCACCGGATGGCCAGGTCACGTCGCCACGTGACCTCATCGCACATTGTCAAATGATGACGACGACGATGACGACGATGACAACGATGACGACGATGATTATGACGTCACCGCGAGTGCGATGAGGTCACGTTGCCACGTGACAATGAAAACGACGACGATGATGACGATAACGATGACGATTGCGACGATGACGACAATGATTATGACATCACTGCCCTGGCTGGCAAAGCATGTATAAACGCTTGTTAATTTGTTAAAAGCATCTTGATGTATAGAGGACTGCCGAGCGTGGACAACATTTGGTGCCAGCTGACTGCCTGGCCCACTGCTTTTCATCTTGTCTGTGGTTCCTCAGAGATTGTGCGAGAGAAGCAAGTTGCATGAAGGATGGCGTAGCTCTAGATTCAAGGTAGATTTGGACCGATCTTATTTGTTAATGGCAAGAAGGGCTCAGTGAGCTGCTACGCTCTATTTCACAGTAGTGTCGTGTGATGGTACAGATGGTAGACGGTACACAACGTAGCGACACGAGCGTGGTTACATAGGTTGTGATACTAAACAGTGAGTGTCGGTACGTGCTCCACATGTTATATATATAAAAGGGAAATTTGTGAATATGTGTGTCTGTTCAAAATGTTTAGCATACTTCCCGACATGCAAAAACTTGAAATGTGCCATGTGGGTACTTTCCAGACTGTACACCATGAAAAAATTATAAAAATACACTTTTTTATTTTTTTTGGGGGGGGGGGACGCAATAATGCATATATTTTGCACGGCAAGTGAGCTGTGACGTCACATCTGTCATGTGACCCGTATGCGGAAGCGTAACGCAGTGTGCCTGCTCATGTCACCCCCCCCCAACCCTCCGCGGGTACAGTGCCATACAAATGTGTTGCAGGCCTAAGGCATTCTTCGCGCAGCATTGCTTTATTATTTCAGTCGTTTACTGCCGTACCCACCCTGAAAGTTGTGTGTGTCTGCAGCAAGCGCGTTTGTGTACCTATGGACGCACGCGTGTGTGTGGGGGGAGCGGTGGTGTAGTGGTTAGTGCGCTGCGCTACGAACCCGGCGACCCGAGTTCGATTCCCGCTCACGGCCACCACCGTTGACAATTATTTGAACCAGTCCCGGGCCTCCCCTAGGTCGACTCAGCCTCAAACGAATAACTAGTGTGGTGTGTGAACATCGCCACTGGGGAGACAAAGGCGGTCGGGCGTGGTAAATTCAAGTCCCGGGCGAAACCGGGTAGTAAAGCTCGTACATATATATACAACTCAACATTATTTTTAAGGCGAATACTTTTAGCGTTGCTTTGTGTCACCAGATTTTTGGGGCGCAACCCATCATGGCAGACGTGAAATGGTCGTGGAAATTCCACATTCCCATGGCAGGGGGGCCACGTGTTCACGGAACATTTTTCTTACAAAACAAATAGCTATTGTATTCGAGAGCCGGACCTTGGCTGAGAGTCACGCGTCTTTCAAAAGTCAGCGAGAGTTCAATTACCGTGACCGGGAATTGAACTCTGGCAGGTTTAAAGCGCAAGTGCGCCGACCACTGCGCCGCCACTCCACTCACCCCTGCCCAGCCAAATCCCCCCATCCCTCGAATCTCGTTGCACTTGGTCGATTCAGCCTCTCGAACGGCGGGCACCGAGGTCCTCCACGGGGTGGGTGGTGACGGGTGGGGGGGACGGGGGAGGAGGGGCGAGGGGGCGAGAACGCAAACACAACATCCAGACGACTCTGCGAGTGGGTAACGCGACGACTGGCGGTGGGAAGGCAATCTCGGCGGGGAATCTCGGGGCGGTCGAATAAAAAAATCCGCTCGCCGTCTTTTCTGCCCATCGCGCCGTCTCAACGGCACCCGAATCAAAAGCGGTTGCTGGAAAGGCACAACAGTGTGGCGGGCGAGCGAGCGGCAGGAGAGATGAAAGGTGCCGGGTGGCGCACCGCACAAAGGTGGCGTGCGGCGTGACGGCCGTCCGCCCGTGACGGCGCGAATCAGGTGGGGCCACGGTAGACAGCGAGGATTCCTCCCGTGCCATGCATCCTGTTTGCGGCGAGCGCGGCCGCGATAAGGAACCGGTCGGCGCGCTGCAGCTTTGGCGGCGGCGGCGGCGCCGTAAGCGGGTGGGCAAAAATATCACCGCAGCATCTTGGCAAAGGGCGAGGCGCCGTTCAGCTTCACGGAGATCCATCCTGGAGCGCGAGGTGAAGTTGGGAGAGTAACCCATCCGTTGCCATGCCGCTGCAGCTCGTCGCCGTGTCGACGGAACACGCCGGGTGTCGTTGCGCTGTTCGGCACGTGCTCCGAGAAAACAGCATCTCGGTGGCTCGGAGATGTTAACTGCCTCGCCGGGTGCACAGGAAGTCGTGGGCTCGATCCTGACCCTGACGCCTGATGTATATTTGGAGTTTGCGCTTCTCTGTCCCTGTGATCGCGTGGATTTTTCTCAGTGTCCTCCGATTTTCCGCTCCTCACTGATTTATTTGGCTGTGATAAATTTCCACTCGATGATAAGCCACTTCGTTGGGCTCTCAGTTGCGGTCCGGTCACTTGCGAAAAAGAACTACATCGCTCAGTGGGCCTTAGTTTAGTTTAAAGTTCAAGATTCAGTCAGCGCTCGGAATACTCCATTCGATCACCCGTTGAGAAGAGATTGAGGATGGTTGTTGGGAATGAGTGTGGCTCGGTGCGGGGGGCGGGCAGAGTGGCAAGGGCAGTGTGGTGACACTCACGCGCCTCACAAGCAAGAAGGGCGTGGGTTCGATTCCCGACCGCTGCATGGGTTTCCTCCCATAGCTCAAACAAACACGACGTGACTGGCATCGGCCAAAACATCTCGGCAAACGCTAAAACGCTACTTGCAAATGGCTCGCTTGGGATCGCACGCGACAGCAGCGACATCGGCCCCCTGCCGCTGCGAAAAGCGGGCAGGGCCCTCTTGAAGTCGAGTCCTGAGACTCTACGAGCCCTGCCTGCGTAAACAAGTTGGAGTCGAGATGAATGTCTTGAGTTCTGCAAATTCCACTTTCCTCCCACGCACAACAAAACGTGCCGAGCCATAACCCTCCTGAGAGCAGACCGGTGAAGCTGTTCCCGGGTTACATAACTTGCCGTTGAAATGCGACTCAGAAATTGCGTGTCGTGACACGCAGGGCTCGCGCCGATTTTCGTGAGCCGCCGGGCCAGTCTGCGGACTCAACGTGGCCCTGTGTCAGCCTGCTCGTATCTCACGCAGGGAGAGGTCAAGGGTCGCAGCCCTGCAATTGCCCACTCACTCCACCGCTGGCCGAAGGCGCCTCCGCTTGAGGGAGCGGGTAGACGGCACCTCCAGCGGGTGCTTTGGCCTACTCTTCCACGCTGGCCCGGTCGTCTTGGATGAGGTAGAGGGGGGTAAGCGCACTCTGACCCGTCACACGCGACCTGCCGGCCGACTTAACTGGGGGGTGAACCCATTCGCAGCGCTGCCGGGTGGTGGACGGAGGCGGTGGGGAAGGGGGATTTAAGGAACGTCCACCGTCGTTTCAACCGCCGCACGGGGAGATGGAGACGAACCGACGACCTCTGGAGTCCGACTGCCGCCTCCTTCGCATCCGGTCCAGCTTCTGCTGCGTCGGTGAATTCTCCCGGCACCTGCGGAGCTAATTCCACGCATTCCACGTGCACTGTTGCCCATTGCACTTGGCTCTCCTCAAACACGGCACAGTCTGTCCTTAAATAGGGGCGCCTTGGTGGTGAGATGTTAACTACATCGCCTGGTATACAGGAGGTCGTGGGTTCAATCCGGACCCTGACGATGCCTGCTGTATATTTGGGGTCTGCGTGTCTCTCTCTCTCTCATCATCATCACGGTGGCTAGGAGATGTTAACTACCTCGCCTGGTTTACAGGAGGACGTGGGTTAGATCCCGACCCTGACGATGCCTGCTGTATATTTGGAGTTTGCGTGTCTCTCCCCATGGTCGCGTGAAAATTTCTCCGGGTCCTCCGGTTTCTACCTCCACGTTTAAAAACAGCATCGCGCATTTCGAGTATTTGGCTGCTGCTATAAATGTCCACGTGATGATGATGATGAGACACTTCGTTGAGCTATCATTTGGGATGGCCAGGTCGCTTCTGAAAAAGAGCTGCATAGCCCAGTGGACCTTGCTTACCTGGCAAAAGAGAAAGAAAGAAAAGTGTGGTGCGTGGTGACCAGCTAATTGGCATTCCGCGCTGTGACGGCTCTGCGGAGCTGCGATGGCTCCTCGGGCTGCGGCCCCAGAGGCTGGTGAACCACAGTGGGCAGCAGCAGGAGGCGGCGGCCCTTCTGCCAACAAGTGGCAAGAGCAAGCGGTTGCAGGGCTGTGCCTTCGTACCGCCCTCCCTGTTATCCTACACTGCAATTCGAACCCTGTAGGATTCGATTAAGAAAACATTCTGTCGGGAGCTAATCCGCCGGTGTTGGAGCCGCTGGAATGGAACGCGATACCGGCGGAGGCCATAGTTGTTGCCGGCTTCACGAAGGACAAAATAATAACTCCGCGAAAAACCCTTTGGAGTCCTTAATAGCTATTTAGGGAAATCCTATAGGACTGGGAAAGAGAATGGCGCAGATCTCGTTGGGGAATGCGCTCGGAATGTTAAACTCTGTCCTCGTTGAGTCTGGGAAGCTCCTCTTGTAGGGTAAGCCGGTTACACGCCAACCCCCCCTCCT